ATGTGGGAGACTCAGAAGAAGCGCCTGTCTCCCAGTGACTTGTTCCTGGCTTTGAATTGGCTCAGCTACGGCCATTGAAACCATCCAAGAAGTGAACCAGCAGATGGAAGATCTTTCCCACACTCACATCTTCTCTGTGTAAGTCTGCTTTTCTAATAAAACTAAACCAATCTTTTAAAAAAGAGTGCGCTGTTCTTCAAATGCTTTTAAGCTCTAATGAAAAGGGTGTTAATGTCACACCTTTCAGGAACTGACCTTTTGGGGGGCCCCCACCATAGTATACAGAGGAAAGCTACCAGCTGGGGCACTGGCATCTCACGCGAGCACTGGGGTGAATGCCTGCTGCTCTACTTCCAATCCAGCCTCCTGCTAATATGCCTGGGAAAGCAGTGGAGGATGGCCCAACTGCTTGGGCTCCTGCACACACACGGGAGATCTGGATAGAGCTCCTGCCTTTGGACTGGCCCAGCTCTAACCATTGTGGCCATTTGGGGAGTAAAGCAGTGAATGGATAACTCTGTGTGTCCCTTCTATCTCTGTAACCCTCATGTTTCAAATACACAGATAATTTTTTTAAGTAGAGCATACCTTTTGAGGAATGGGTGTTTGGTGCAGTGGTTGACACCCAGCTTGGGATGCCTGTATCCCAAATCTGAGTAGCTGGGTTCAGGTCCTAGCTCTGCTCCCAATTCTGCCTGTCTGCTAATGTGTGCCCTGGTAGGCAGAGCATGGCTCACGTGCTTGGGTCCCTGCCATCCACGGGGGACAGCCAGAGAGTCCCAGCCTCCAGGTCACGGCCTGACCAAGCTCCCACTATCGCAGATATACGGGAAGTGAATTAGTGGGGGATCTCTCTTGCTCACCACTAATAAGAAAATAAACACCACGCTTTTAACCTTCAAAATCAACAATTCTGTACCAAGTTGCCCTTGTTATCCTCTTAACAAACCTCCTTGTGCATTGGTTCCTGGTAACCAGGCACTTTCTGCTCTGGGGCTGCTGAAGGACACTACTCTGCTTTGGGCAAAGAGTCAGAGACCTCCTTTAGGGCTCTTGGTCTTACCTAAGCCAGGCCTGTCCTGACCAGCTACAGAAGGCCCCATCATCAGTATTTAACACTTGCCACATGTATCACTTTGCTTTTATCGCCAGCAACTAAAAAAGAAAAGCATCACTTTCTACTTCACAAAAGGTAGCTAATGCGCCGGGCTTGGCTGCAGTTCACGTCCAGTTTGTTGGCTATGGAGAAATCCTTAAGAATCCAGAGGACTGTGATCCTTGCCCATCCCCCAGCTCCTCCTCAAGGATGTATTCTGATTAAAGAATGAAGGAAGAAAGAGTTAAGAGACAGAGACAGGGTTTATCTGGGGATCAGTGATAAATGCTGAAAAGAAGCCGCAGGGAGGCATACCAGTCTGCTGAGTGTCTCTTTAACACAAGCAGCTCCGAATGCTTTCGACCTAGCAATACCATAAATGTCCGGCTGCTGTCTTGCCTCGCGGATTCTTCCCCGTACTTTCCATGAGCATTCCACTGGGAACCGTCTGGAATCCCAGATTAAAAGAGCCATAACCCAGTTCCCTGGTTAGAATATTTATTTTCTTTTCGCTTTGGAAACTCAGTGGGGAGGCGTCTTCCCGCAGATGGCACAGCCTGAGGGAGCCTTGCAGGGGCTGTGGGCTCTTCCCAGATGTGTGGTGAGCACTGAGTGGTCCATGCACAGACAGCACAGAAGCTCAGCCCCCGTTTGGGGAGCCCCCATGGAGGGCAACCGGGCAGGGCCTGGGAAGTTTCACCTTCGGAGGAGTCCCTCCAGATGCTAGACAGCAGCGGTGTCACAACAAGGCTCAGGCATACTTCCCAAGAGTGCTGTCTAGCCTAAGACAGGGACAGGTGTTTCACCCAGGGGTGACAATGCTGGGTAAGGATCCCACATCCCACATCCCGGTGTCTGGGCTCAGGACAGCACTGGCGCCTGACTCCAGCTTCCTGCTCATGTAGACCCCGGGAGACAGCAATGGTGACTCAGATGATTGAGGTCCTGCCACCCACGTGGCAGACCTGGACTGAGCTCCTGGTCCACCCCAATCACAGCATTCAAGGAGTGAACAAGCAGAAGGGAGCAGCTGGTCTCTCCCTGCCTTTCAGCACCCTCAAATAAATACCAAAACAATGGGTCCCTCTTTAAAAAAAAAAAAAAAAGAATTAACACCAGACTGTCAAGGAGCAGGCACCCAGGCAAAACTATTATCCCAACCTGAACCCATGGCCCAACTCCGATTCTATGCCAAGGTCAGCAGTAACGTGTCCCACTGCCAGTAACTCTCTAGGTAGGGATCCATCCAGCCATCTAAAAATGACAGGCAAACCAATCAAGCACAGATCGGGCAACAATCACAAGGGATTTCAGCCACAAATCACTTCCATGACTACCAGCTTCGTGTCTACCCTGAACTCCGGCATCCATTCCAAGAGCAGTTATTAAAACACACACGTAAACAGTGTCAGAACAGACTAAATCACAGAATCATACAGAAGTGAGTTCAAATCTTGACTTACTGCTTATTAATTCTGTGACTAATCTTGAAAAGTTACCTAAGAGCCAGCACTGTGGTGTGGCTGCATAACGCTGCCATCTGTGCCACACGGACACCAGCTCCATGTCCACTTCTGACGTAGCTCCCTACTAAAGACTGGGGGAAGTAGTGGAAGATGGGCCAAGTGCTGGAACTGTGCCACACTGAGTGGGAGACCTGGATGATGGTCCTGGCACCTAGCTTCAGTCTGATCCAGCCCTGGCCACTGTGGCCACCTGGACAGTGAACGACGGGTGAAAGATGCTTCTCTCTGCCTCCCTTTACTTCTTTCAAGTGAGTTATTTTAAAAAGAAAAAAAAGAGGAAGGAAGGAAGGAAGGAAGGAGAGAGGGAGGGAAGGAAGGAGGGAAGGGAGGGAGGGAGGGAGAAAGGAAGGAAGGAAGGAAGGAAAAAATATTACTTAAATGCTTTAAGCTCTGACACTGAAATAAAATGAAGACATACCTTATATGCATGTGAGAGTGGTATGGAATATTTTATATAAAGGGTATCACACAGTGCCCAGAACAAGGCAAGCCCATAACTAATACAAAAGATTGTGACTGAGCTAGGCACGTGGCAGCCACTAGGAAAGGGCTGGTAACCAGCACAGACATGGCTCAGCAAGCAAACTGTCTACCCAAGCAAGAAGTGCATGCTGCTAAGGAGGACACGCTGCCAAGAACAGAGAAGGCTGCCTAGATGAGAACATCTCCTAAAGTCAGGAAGGTGGTTAGATCCACTCCTGTCCTAGCACAGGGTATGTGTTAGCAAACAGAATCAACGACTGACTCGCAATGACAGCAGAGTAACTGCAGATGAAGCTCTCCCGATTCCCAGTGGTGGGCCCTGTCTGCTCACTTGTTTGACCATGATAAACTCTCAGGAAAGGGAGTGCTTTGGACACAGAGCCTGAGGCATCCAGAGGGCAGTCAGGGGACAGGATGTCATTATAGAATGTCACAAAATACAGGCAGAAAAGGTCAGGAAAGGAACCATTACCTGTTTGGGATGAATCTTCACAACCTTTGTTTTTCTCTCCATACTAAAATTTATGCTCCCTGTGAGCAGGGATTTTCATCTGCTTTGTTCATTTCTGCTCCCCACCCCACGCCCTCCACACACACATCCAGTTCCTAGAGGAGTAAGTGCCTGGCATAGTATTGGACAGTGAATTAACCCTTTGTGGACGTGGTGTGAGTATGTAAAATGGGTATGCTGGGCACACCGTGGCTCTGGCAGGAAATGTGCTAGGCGTCCTTTCCTTCCTGATTCTGTGTCCCCCAGCACTGTCAGCACTCTCTGGTTTACTGAGGACACCAGGGCCTTCAGCTGTGACGCTGGCAGCTTCGAGGTCCTTATCTCAAAGGAAAAGATGGCAGACTAGAACTGTCCCCCTACAGGTCCTGCCACCCCCTGCCCACGGGACCCAGGATGATATTGACCATAGTGTGCAACAACTGTGTCCATGCTGATGGACAGAGCAAGCCAAAGGACAAGAGGACTCCTCACGGGTTCACTGCCTGCTGCTGTCCTCACTGGAGGGCAGAAGGGACCAGCCAGTCCCGTCCCCCATCTGCAGCACCACAGGGATCTCAGCCCTTGAACTAACAGGAAAGAACAAGAAGGAACCCACGCCTTGGTCTTCAGTGGGCAATCCTGTCCAGGGCAGCTGCACCAAGCGCAGAATGACCAGAGCGTTGGTGCGCATGCCCAGTCCCAGCTGCACTCCCAATCCATCTGCATGCCAACGTGCACGCTGGGAAGCAACAGGTGACGCCTCGAGGACTTGGATCCCTGCCGTCTGGGAAACCTAGATTTGGTTTCAGGCTTCCAGCTTTGGCTTGACGCAGCCCTGACTGTTGGGAGCCAGTGGCTGGAAGATCTTTGTGTGTGTGTTTCTGTTTCCATGCCTTTCAACAACAATCAATAAATGACAAAATGAACAAAAATACTCAACAAGGAAAAGAGAAAGATGGTAATAACGAAGTCTTATAAAAGAAGGAAAAGTGTAACTAACAAAGCAGGGTGTGAGTTGGCTCAGAAACTGATCAAAATGTTTTATCAAAGGAAACAGGAGAGGGGATTTAGGATAAAAGTTTGGAAACGGAACAATCACAGTGCCCTACAGAAGACTGAGTTTGATGCTGCCGTATATTGCCCACCAGCAGAGTCCTTTTGTTTTTTTTTTTTTTTTCCTTAACACGTCATCACCAGGACGAGAAGAATGCTCTGAGAATCTCAAACTTGCCAAAGCCATTTTGGGATGACAGCCAAGAACACCAAAGCAGCAGGTGTAGTCACGTGAAAACCTCAGAACCGGCCCTCTCTGACTTGCAGCCCACCGCCTGCCTCTCCTGTGGTCAAGCAGGCTGTCCACCTGTCCTCCCCTTTCCCCACGGCGGCCCAGGTGGAAGACACTCACGCAGGTGCGCTGGCAGGCGGATCGCGTCTTCCTCCATCCTGAGGGCTCGAGGCACTGGAACATGAAGCGGAGTCGAGGAAGCGTAACTCGGCACGGGGCTCTCTGGAGGTGTATATGAAATCCGTTCCTGCTGTTGAAAATAAGGGCAGGGAGAGGGGAGGGGAAGAGACGATGAAAACTTGGAATGAAAGTGTGACATCACCCAGATCTGTGAGGAGCGGAGCTGGGGCATTCTGGAGCAACTGGACTGCTCTCCCCCAGCTGCACACGCTTATCCTTTGTTTGGGATTTAGAACAAGACACAGGGAAGATGGAAAATGGGCTTTTCCTTTGGACTCAGGTCAATGGGTATGCACCACAGTAGTCAAGTGGAGGGATACACGGATAAAGGGATGAAAAAATATGTCCAGGAGAGAAGTTCTCAGGCAATCCTTGCCACAATTAGTTTCTATGTCCCATATTAATATCACCAATACACTAAAATCACATTTTCTCATCCATATGGCTTCATATTCAGATCCAAGCAGAGGGACTTAAACACACAGAGTGGAAAATGATGGTGTAAAAGGTAAGTTCTAGAATTAGCCGGGGGACAAAAGAGCTATGCGCAAGGACAACCACTCCCCGTTATAACCAACATTAAACTGCAGGAAATGATCTGTAATACTAACAGGAATTTCCTTATTCCTTCAGCTCTACAGCTGAATCAAGATTGCCTTTCGCTCCTAACAACTTCAGAGTTTGACTCAAAGGTAAGGAAAGTATTTAAAAGAAGATACTTATCAATCAACTAGGAGATGGGGAGGGCTTTGGTAGATCCATTGGTTAAATTCAAACAAATCGTGTTTTCTAGATGAACTGAAACAAACTGGATATGGGATCGGAAGCATTACTACGAGTTTTAAATCCAAAAACTGCACATAATAGCAAGAAAGCGACTACTGTATTTAGTAACACAGCAACACAATTTGCATCTTAGTTCTGCACACCAATGAATTTGAGTTTCAGTCCATACATAAACATAACTTTGTGTGTGTGAGTGGTTTTTCTGGACAAAACAAAGTGGGACACATGAATTCCAAAAATAAGTTAGAAAGAAAAGACCAGGAAGATGCTACTCCATAAACAAAAATCAGGAACAAAAGAACATCTTTAAAGAAAGTGAAGTAGGTGTTTAGTCTGGAAAAAGGGTTTAAAAAATTTTTTATATCTCATCAAATGTTCATTAAGAAGAATGGGAGTCTCCCAGTCTTGGAACCAAAGTACAGCTGCTCTGCTGCTCACAGCCTGGAAAGTTTGGCGGTTGTGGTTGGAAGTTTCAACTGCAAATGCATCTATACATATTGTTGTAATTTCCGGACAGAATTGCTACACCTTCCCTAAGGCATTCACTAGGAAACATGAAGGCCATGGGAATCTTTCTGTTTAAACACATATCCAATCAAGATTTGTTGGTAGATTTCTTAATTAACGGCAGGCACATAAACCCTACATTTCATTTCTGCCACAGTCAAGATGTCCCAAGCAAGGTCACCCAGGGGCAAAAGCTTCCTGAACTTTACCGAACATCCCACACTATGAGCAATGCTGTCCTAAGGATGAGTTATGCTCTTTGGTGTCTGTTTTGGGGTTGCTTGGGGGGTGTACAAGGGCCAAGATACATAAACACACAAATGAAAAACACAGCGTCTGATTAGGGGTTTTTCAGGGTGAGATGGACTCTTAAGCCATTTCAGAGATGGTGTGCTGTAACAAATTCTGCATCGTCTGCCACCTCATCTGACACCCTCCCTCACATCTTACCACATGTTCAGATATCTTCCATCAACTTTAGTCCCTGAAGCAGCTTTCTGTTTAGTTTGGGTTTTTGCAGAAGTGAAACTGGGTGAAGCAATCAGCGCACGGCCGAATGGCCTCCCAATGGCCCGGCGTGAATGCAAAACAAGGGACACCAATAGATAGGTGGAGAAACTCCCAAGACCCTCTATGTAATCTCACCAGAGCCAGCAGCTACCCCAGCCCGTCCCCTCCGTCTCCAACAAGGACAAGCTGTAAAGCCAGCTCTCAAACCTGAAGGTACTTCATTTCCTAGAACGTCTCCCTGCAGCTGACTGATAGCAATCAAGCTCTGTATCCTCTCTAAAGCACTTGTACCCAACTTGCTAAATTAGCATTGTCGTGGGCCCTTGGCCTTGATGTACTTCCTTTTTAGTTTTGGGTCTACATAGCTCCTGACCCCATGGGAATGTTGACCCGGTACCGTTGCTAGGTGACTGATGCCTTCCCTCGCAAGCCATTCTGGGTGCACTAGGACAATGCAGCCTAGAGCTAGAGGGCTAGAGAGCAAGCCATCAGGACACCTGCACTTCTCCATCCTGGTGCATCACAGCTTCTGCCCCCTCCAAGGTCACCACAGCCAACGCTCTAAGTGAAGGGCCTTTGAAAAGGCTCAAGAAAGAAGCCTGGCAGTCTCAGAACAGAGGTCATCCTGACCAAGACAGGGGAAAAGCAAAACGAGCTTCTAGGACCTTGGGCATCTGCCAGCAGCCACTCCCCACTTGCTGTGACCTCGGCTCAGCAGCCAGCCAGCCAGCACAGCGCTCAGGTGACCCCAGGAAGGACGCTGGCCTGCGGGGTGGCCTCTTTCTGAGAACCGAGCACACAGCTGGGATGCCATACAACACACTAAACTACTTTGCCTGTCTTTGTGACTCTCCAGGGGGACTCACACAGGCCTTTGTTTTTATTCTCTTATGATACCCATGCATTTCATATCTACAGAGGCGCTTAAGCAGAGTATGAACAGTTAGAGACATCCAACAAACTCTGCTATTTCAGATGGATACCCACAGCCAGAGTGGATTAAGGGGACTGAGACCCAATTTTCCCAATAAAGGGAAATGCTCTTTTCTCCCAGCTGCTTCTCTGGTCCCACCCCCAACAAAGGAGGAGAATGGGTGAGGGAGACAGCCTGCACCTCCTTCTCCTCCAGAGAAATCGCCAAGTGGAACCAGAGGTGCTTTCTTTTCACACTGCAAGGAGCAGGGGGATAAGGATTTTCCCAAGAGGATTATAAACAGTGTTAATTAAATTAAAATGCTACAGTGATGTTAATGTATTCAAATGCCGGGAGGGGTAAGGGGTGGAGGTCAATGCTGTAACTAGAAACGCCATGATGCGGTTACATTATGCTGTTAGGATGCTGAACAAAATAAAACGAGTTGCTCTCAAATTTGCACACATGACCTAGCAGACCAAGCAAAGCAGGCGGCCTCTGGGGGCAGCCAAGATGGATAACAAGGGTACCAGGAGGCAAAAAAAAAAAAAAAAAGGAGCTGCACAAAGCTATTGGTAAAACAACCGTGAGATCTTTAGGGTGTGAAACATACATTGTACTCATCCTTACAGAAAGACTTTTTTTTAGTGGACTGTCGCTCTGCAAGCACAACTAGGAACACCAGGAAGACTTACCTTCCTGAATTCATCCCTCCCCCAAGCCATGGCAGGCCAGGGCAGGGCACCTGTCTAATCCTGCTCCTTTGTACTCTGAATGCTGCAGGACCCGTGACTTCCATGTGAATGTATTTTACACACTAAGGGAAAGTGGAGCCTTGCACTCGCTCTAATGCAGGCTGCATATTTCGGAAGCCACAAAAAGTGGATGTAGGTGAAGATGGTGGGTGCAGGTGTGAAGATAACTCTGAGACATCCACACCCCATACCAGAATCCCACGTCAACTTCCTGGGAAGCTACAGCTCAAGTACTTGGGTCCCTGACACCCAAGACCTGGACTGAGTTCTGCCTCTAGACTTGGAGTTGGTCCAGTCCCAGCTACTGCAGGCTTTTAGAGGCAGGAACCAGGGAATGGAAACTCTGCCTGTCTTGCTCCTCAATCCCTCTTTCAAATACATAACCTTAAAAACTTTTTAAAAATAAATATTAACAGTAGTCTTGTCTACTCAAAATTATCCAATTGATGCATATCAGATGAAAACCACTCCCTCCCACCACCATGGCACACACACAGCTCATTTCCACACATCTGTGGTTTCTTTAAAAAAGGCTGAACTGTAGATGAACTTACAGCATATGGCTAATTAAATATACTATTCTTGAGAAATAAAATATTAATGGACTAGATAAAAACAAAAATAAGGTTAGTTGTCTTTGAAACAGATGGATGTCAAATACAAGTTGGGTGTCTCTTATCCACACTGCCTGACATCAGTGTTTCATATTCTGGGATTTTGTTGAATTTTAGAATATTTGCATATATATTAATAAAGAGATATCTTGAAGGACCAAACCCAAGTCTAACATGAAACTCACGCATGTTTCATTTATACTTTATAAACATGGCCTGAAGGGAACTTCCTATCCATCAACCACCTGTGACCCACTCGTTGAGGGCAGCTGTGGCATTTCCTACTTGTGGCATTGTGTCAGTTATCAAAAAGTTTTAACTTTGGGGAGCATTTAGGATTTTTCAGCAACAGAAGTTCAATCTGTAAAGATTCCTCTATCAGAGAGCTAAAATGTCCTTGGATTAGGACTATTTTCTGGAAATTGTCCCCATCCTCATTATGAGTTACCCCAAGGATGGTTTCTGGAGCCCATGTCAGGAGTCTGGCGGGGAAGCAGCACCACTGGAAAGTGGTGAGCATCTCCTAGACTCTGTTAGGAAGCCACAGGCCCTCTTTTATCCTTCTGCACTTGGGCATCCCCTATTTGCTACGGAAACCTGCAACCTGGACGAAATGGCAAGCTGCAGGCACCACACATAGAGTGGTCCTACACAGGCACTATTTTGGTGTTTTGAGGAAGGGTCTCTATTCCATCCTATAGGCTTTTAAGGAAGCTGCCCAGGGAATCCAGGGTTCATCCCATAGGCAACCTCTGTACATTGCAAGGGGAAAAACTCTCTCTTATGGGAATCTGTTTATTATTCAAGTTTATTCTTACTGCTGCAAAATGATTCCAAGTGGTGGTGTTGGCTTTCATGAAGTTTTCGTGAACGTGTGGTGTCTGCACATTACCAAAAAAAAAGAAAGGAAAAGAAAAAGAAGAATATACTGGTATTTGAGCTGCCCAGTGTTCTCCCTTTTTTATGTCATTGATGCCAACAAGGA